TGTGCTGTTAACGAAATCCACACTGTTCTCCCCCAGGGCTCACTGCCTATGATGGTTTTATTGTCCTTTAGTGCTCAAAGAGACTCTTCCTCCTACTCCAGAGACATAGTCTTTGCCCAGCTGATATAGTCTTAGAAAATAAATGTTGCTGTCAGGATAAAAATGGCGTTCATTTGAGAAATGTGAAGACTTTGTATTTCATATTTCATATGAAATATATTTCATATTTGGTTTCATATTTCCCTGGCTTTTAAAACACTGCTTCTTTTTACCACGGCCCTTTATTAGTATGTAACTGACAGGTAGCACCCGATGCAAAATGATGCAAACTCCAGGACCACTAAAGGATGCATTTATACCACTGTCTGTGTTGGGAATGAGCAGTGATGTAGACATACCTGAGCTATCTTTAAAGTAGTTGTGTTTGATACTGACAGCAGCCTAGTCACAGATGTCTGGAGCTCAATGAAGGCTGTAAAATCCACCCAGGAAGCCAATAAATATTTAGAGCTTAGACTGAATTGCAGTCGCTGCTGCTGTAACGAGGCTGCTTTCGGCACAAAAAGTGGCTGTCACCGCACTGTGACAGGTAGAGATATGCCCAAAGCAGCAGGAGAATACTTACTGCGCCTGGTGTATGAGATCCGCCCCCCAAAGTCACGTTAGTCACTTCCTAGAAATTCAAGGATTGCCTTGATGAATATGAATTAAATTTCTCCTTTCCTGTCATCATCATCTTTAATATACAAGTATCCAGGGAGGCTGAAGACCTGGGCAATGCAGCCTTTCTTTTTAAACTGCATTAAGGCACAATATTCCCACAGGTTGCTTTTCTGCCATGCTCACGAAGTCATACAGGAGTCATAAAGTCATAGAGTCATAAAGCAGTCTCCTGGAAATATAGCAGAGCAACCTCAAAATTAATCTTTTTTTTTTTTTTAATGTCAGGAGAGTCTTTTCTGAACTTTAGATTTGTAAGGTTTCTGGTGTAAGCAGTATCATGTCTTTTGGATTCTCTCCATATCCATGCAGGCTTATTAAATTTTAGAAAAGCAAGCAAGCAAGCA